AAATTTCGTGAGCTATTTACTAATAAATCATAGAAGGTCTACTGATAAAATAATCCAGTTCGGTGCTCTATAAGTTATTTCTCAAATACAACTGATTTTTCGGATATAAGTTTTTGCGATATCTATCAAAATTTTTCTTCCTAAATATTTGCTTATCACAAATAAAAAGTGCTTAAAAATACGACAGCGAGTTGGAGATAAATTTTCTGATGTTCATGAAGGGTATGAAGTCTTTGGCATAGCCGAAGACAGCGCTGTCCTTACTTATTTTATTTACGTTTTTAGCTTTTTACTTATATCCACTTACGCTGTTATTGCTTTCAGTTCTTCTTTTTTATGAAGATTTCGTTTTTTTATGATGATTACTTTCCTCTCTTATTATTCTTTTGAAGATGTTTTTATTATGCTCATAATAATACATATGTATGTATATGGCCTTTTGATTTAATACTTTTTAACCGACTTCCAAAAAAGGAGGAGGTTATCAGTTCGTCGGAATATTTTTTTTTTTTTTTTTTTTTATGTATGTTACCGCATAACTTTGGACCACGTCAACCGATTTCGATAATTCTTTTGCATCGGAAAGGTAGTGTCTCAGAGGTGGTCCCATACTAATCTGGTTAAGATCCGATCAGCGGATCATGAGATATATATATATATATATATTTTATATGGGAGTTGAAGTCGGTTTTTTTTTTTCTAAAAAATACTAGTTAACAATATGTATTAACTTTTGCTTTGCTTCGAAACTTTTTTTTTTTAATTTTTTTTGTTTTAATTGGCCTTTTATTTTGTCTCCTCATTTTTTACCAAAATAATCCATTTAAATTTGAAATTAATATACAAATTTTAAGTAGGAAATTAAATATCTGACTACTATGCATTACATCGATCAACCTACTAACAAACAATATGTATATTAATAGTTCATTTCACCAGCAATTTAAATGGAAAATGATTTTTTTATTTTCTGTCAATTTTCATATAAAAGTCCAAAAATTAAAATCATTTTTCACTCAAACGGCTTTCATGAAATTGACTGTACGAATCAATTCTTTAATCAGGCGAAAATTGAAAGCATGCGTGCCAAAAACAAGTTAAGTTAGGAATTTTGATGAAATATGCACTCCTTGACCAAAGAGGTTTATGGTCGTGACAATGTAGAGTTTCTACCCAATGCAAATTGAGATAAATCTAACAGCTAGACCATTGGTGGAATGTCGAAATTTTCTGAAAAAAACCCAGAGATTTCAAACATAAGGTATTGAACGAATTTCGAGCTCGCTGATACTGGCCAGTCTTGTAGACCTCCTAAGTTAGCGATTGTGGTGTGGTATGCCAAATAAATACGAGTATGGTTTTTATTTATCCATCGTAAGTAGTTTGATATTTTTGTAAAAGGTAGGCTTTAATACAAATTAAAAAAATACAAAAAATCTATTATTTTAATTTTTGCCTGTTAAAATTACCGTTTTTTTGCAAATTTATATGAAAATGGCCTTGGAAAATGAATTGATCTAGAAAAATGGTATACAGATCCGTAATCTATGAGGCAAAATTAAGTTTAGGTGTCTCGGCGTTTTTTTTTTTGTGTCATTTAGAGTTTCACCGTGTTATTCATTTGTTTATCCTTAACAGTTTGAGCGATCTTACTTTGTATGACAGAAAATGTCCAACACCATCATAAAAAAAAAATTGCCAAAAATTTACGGTAAGTCCTAACAACTTCAATCTTGCACAAATTGAATGGACGGCAAAACTGCATACTTAAAATATTTCTAAGAAATCTAACTGAAAAGCTTCGAAATTCTGCGAAGCTTTGTTGATTTTTTTCTTTTGCACCAAGTTTGAAGCTTGTATGATTTTTCAATTAAAATCTTCGACAAGTGAACCAAATTGGAGCAGTTGATTAGCCGACAATATGTCCCTTAGTAGTAGTAGTTTAGTAAACCAACAACATAGATCTGTGGAGCTAATCTGATACAAAAAGTTCATATACGATATACTTACAAATTTTTATCAAACAAGGAATACATATATAACATAGTCAGAAGGCTTTTTTGTCACCAGAAAGAACGAAACAGTTTCGAAATTCTCCCTCGTCAATTTTGAGACTAAAACTATTCTGAAAAGCTCTCTGAAAGTAAAAGCCTCAGACTGAAATAGCCTTACTAGCTTTCCTTTTGTAGGAGTTATTCGAGACAATATCAATCTTGTCACTGCAGACCATTTTTTAACTGATTGTAAAGTGTATACCCTCTCCCTTACTAATATTTCTTCTTTGCATATATGCCCTCTTTGTTCTAGTATTTTTATGAAAAATAAGCTTGACCAAATTCAACAGGATAGTGAATTCCAATGCCGGTTCATGTCTGTATGTACGCTCATATGTCCACTAGCAACAACAGTGAATAGTAAATACAAAAAAAAAAACAAAAAATATTATCATACTCGTATTTAATTAATAAAATGCCCAATCGGTCAGGATTAATTAATGAACATCATTAAAGCTCAACAGTGAATATTGTTCAAACATTTAATTAAATTTAACACCTGTAAAATTATTGCATAATAATATACATAAATACAATGCTTAATATATACACATGCTCAAGTATACATATATTTTTTGTTTTTTTTTTATCTGAACAAGGAAGTGTAAAAATAAATGTTTATTGATTTGCTGCTCTTTCACAGTGATGCCATTGTTTTTATATGCAAGTAAACAACATAAAAAAGAAGAACAGTTCAAATTTAATTGGTGTATGCCAGTCAAATCCGAGGTGGTAATCTAGGTATACGAAACCATTTCTTAACCCATTATGCGCCTGTCTTATGTATGAAGGCGGAAGGGGAATTTACGCACTCGAAAGCATGGGTTTATAGACCTGGAAGCCTTTGTTGGACTGTCATGGAGTTTTGTAATCAGGAGTTCTAAAACAATCCATAGCGTTAGACGCCATGCCAATAAAAAAAGCCATTGGATTTATTACTACCGCTGGAAATTAGAGTATTGAAGCATAAGTGCATAAGTGCATATGACCTTAATTTCACATTGCCCTGGTATATCGCTTCTCAATAGTACTGGCAACTAAGTACAGTGACTCAAACAAATGACCACGTGTTGATTTTCTTCAAATATTCGTAATGTTTTTAGAGACAATTTTTTTTTTTGTTATTTTTATATAAAAATATCGTCTAAGCTTTAACGAAACCCATGTAAATCACGGTTTCAAACTTTATACAAAATTTAGGAGAATTCAACAAGCTTTCAGCAAAATTTCAACTTTTTATTCTGAATTTTTAGAAGATTTTTGGGTATGCAGCTTTATAGCCCATACAATTTTAGTCAAATGAAGCCCACAAATTACAAACGGCAAAAAAATCGCGTTGATTTTTGAGAATTCCGTCACCAAAAAAAAAAAATTCCCTAAAGCACTTTACTGTCTTTCGAAAGACTAATTGGAAGATCTGCTAACGGGGAAGTCCTAGCGTTATGCTGTTCGCCTTTTAGCAACAAGATTTTTTTGAATTAAATTAAATTTAAAAATATGTATATTTTTCTTTTTAAAACAATAAATACTTATAAATAAAAGAAAAATTTAATTTAAAAAAATTTAAGTAAATGAAATTTATATTTTTTTCGTTTTAAAACAATAAAATTTAAAAATTTAATTAGAAAAGAAAAAATTAAATGAAAAACTAGAAGCTAAAAATTAAAAAAATTAAAAAGGACTTTTTTTAGTTTTAAAGCAAAATCTTAAAAGTAAAAGAAAATTAATTTAAGAAAGACAAAATATAAAATAAAAAATAAACAAATGAGATCCTAAAAATTAAATGAAATAAAAACATTACTTTTAAAACAAACAAAAATATATTAATTAGAGGAAAATGAAATTGACGAAAGAAAAACAAAAATTAAATTCAAAACAAGAAAAAAATTTATGAAATAATTTTCTTAAAATTAAATGAAATTAAAAAATACATTTTTTTTTTTAATGAAATCTAAAAATGTAAGGAAAAGTAAATTTAAAAAAAGAAAAAATAACTCAAATAAGTTTCTAAAAATTAAATTAAATTGATGAGGAGATGTGTCAAATTAGCAGCTATAACTTCGACCTTTGTAAATTAAATTTGTTTTTTCCACAACATTTTTCATATAAAACAGCCTCAAGCTCAATATATTTTCCAAAATCTAGAAATTATAAAAAAAAATAAACTAAAGAAAGAAAAGTAATAATAATTTATAAATTAAAAAAAATAAAATAAGTGCACAAAAATTATATAAAATAAAAATATTCTTAATTTTTAAGCAAATGTAAAAATAAAAGAAAATTAAATAAAGAAAGTACAAAATTTTTATAAAAAAAGAAAGAGTCCACTGGCAGAGAACTCAAACTCAGATGACTCCAATGGCACTCCTGTGCTTTCCTCACACTTTCTCTCTGCTTTCCCTCAACTCAATATAGCTTTTCACCACGAATGGTGAGAGCCTTTTTCTAAAACTTTTCTGCTAGAATAACGAAGAGTCTTTCGAACTACATATCTTATCATATGCCATTCGTTTGTCTTACGAAAGATTTTTTACTACTTTAGCCAGAATTTCCCTGTAACTCTGTTTTCACTGATAGATTGACATGCAATTTTCCTCTGACCACACAGTTGCCTAATACTCACATTATTTCATGGTTACTTCACTTAACGCAGGAATTAAGCCTCAACCTGCATACAAACAGTACTAGGCAAGCTCTAGAGAGGAAACAGCATTTGCCAGTGCTTTAAGTTCGGATTTTCGGTACCTCTTTTGGACGTAGACGATGTATTTTTTATTTCTTTTGCTTCTTATATCAAAATATGAATTTTCATAAAAAGTGAACGTAGCACTCTGAGCTAGCAGTATTGTATTGTACATATATGTTTTTTCTATTTGATTTTTTTTTTTCTCAATTTCTCAAAGTAGCAAAATATTAACACAAATACGAGTAATCGCTTGCACGTACCTGATCAGTAAAGTTATCTGTGTGGAAGAGCACTTTGACATAGTTGGTCTCACTGATGAAAGTTTGTGGCTGCTCCGCCTCACCGCAAAACATGCCAGGCTCACGGCGATTCGAAACATCCGTTTTCGCATTGCCATCGACAATCTGTAAAGGAAAAGTGAAATAAAATATATTTTAAGTATCAAATATGAAAACGAAAAGCAAAAATAAAAAATAGCTCGGAGCAAAATTCGCAGCAAAGCACAAAACTTTAGGTGAAAAGGATGACATGAAATACCAATTTTGAAATAATTTACGTGCTGCTCAGCTGGCGTGCTGTGGCGAAAAAAGAAAGCTTTAGTTACTTTTGTGGATATGCACAACTTTTGAGGCTTTACAACTTGCTTACTTTGACGTATGCGCATACATATTTTCAGTTTTATTTATTTTCAATTATCTCATCACACTTTTGCTTTTGACTGAGGATTTGATTTACTTCGTACAGGAAAACTTATCAGTATTGAGTTGTTTTTTTTTGTATTCATTTTTTTGGCGCTTTTTGTCTTTCGCTTTGAAGCACTCGCGCTTCATAGTGCAATATTGGGAATACAGAAAGGTAGCCGTTTGTGGGTGATATCCAAAGCCTTAGCGGGAATGTGAATGCTGCTGTAGCGCACCATTGCCCGCTGGATGCCATAAAGCATATGTTTTTATTTTCAGTTTCCGCGAACCCTGTCTATTGCCATTTCAGACTCATATGTCATCATTTACTCTTTCGAAAACATAATAAAAAACACATACGACACTCTGCACCAAACCCGCAACACAAAGTCGAGTGCAGTAAAGCAACCGCCGCAAAAACAAAATGCTTCGAAAAAGTGCCTTAGCCTACCAGCAGGCGCCAGGCCTTGCTGTGCGCCATATGTGCCTATAGAGTGCCATTCAGCGACAACCAGCTGCGTTGCTGCACTCCCACCGAGTTGAGTAACTCATAAATTACTGTTTTGTCCGGACAGACAAGGGGTCCAGTGCGTCGCTGCACCCTTGTCCGTTGCCATAAATCAGATTTCCCCATACAACACAAGCGCCTCGCCTCAAGTGCGCACTTCCAAGCATGTGTGTGTGTGTGTGCGCGCGTGCATATGAAGCGTTTGAAATTATTGCATGCCTTCAGGAGCACCAACGGCAAAACAAAAGCAATGAAAAGAGTGAAAAAAACACGATTGAATGTCTTATTTGCGCACTGCATGCAATATGTTGGCGCTCGTGCGCGCAAAGCCTTTACAAAAAATAAAAAATAAAAAAAATAAATTGAAACCCTGTTTACTTGTGCGAAAATATTTGCAAAGGTATTTTTCCTATTGGCCCTACACGCAAAAGTATGCTATAAATTGTGTTGAGTGCTTGGCCCAAGTGTTTGCTGCGCTGTTGTGTCTGCTTCCGCTCGCTCAGTGCTTATACTACTTTCTGTGCACTCACCTGCAAATGGCCGCCCTCGCAGTGTGTTGCATTCAACAGCGTGCCAACTTTAAATTTTTTAAAACGTAACCGCAACACAAAGTCGCGCGGTGCACCCTTCAGCGTACGGAACCGGTACCAGCAGGTCAACGGCCGGCCCACATTTATGTTATTCACCTCCGGCGAGCTGACATCCTCGAAGATGTCCACTGTTTTGTTGCACTGATCCTTGGTGAGGTCCGCTGCACCGCTGCCTGCAATGAGTTGGAAAATGTGAAGAAGAGAAAAACAAAAAGTTGAGCAGGTGTAGGCAAGTGGAAGTTAAAAGTGTGTAGCTAAACATACATAAGTACAGGTGGAAGTGTGAAATAGTCATACATGAGAGGTTGACATATATTTCGGAGTTTAAAAATATTTAGATTTGCATTTATTTAGTTAGTTAGTTGGCTGTAAAAATACCATCGCAAGCGTTAAAATTCTTGAAGTAGAGATACCAAATTTTTCTACATTCATTAGACTTCAAAAAATATGTACATATGTATATAGTTTTTCTTGTCTAAAAGCGTGAATGGATTGGATATGTGTTTTGGCTTAGAATAGATAAGTTAGGTTAGGATAGGTGATGCTCGCTGACCAATAGAGGTATCACATAGACGAATATAACGTCCATAGCGTTGCCAGATGCGTTTACGACCTATGAATCAATGCTTTCACGCAATGTTAAAGAACACTGCCCTTCATTTAGCGAGCAGTTCTTGTGATGCTTTGATTTTCCCCAATTGGAATTGGTATATTCGTTGTAAGTGAGGCGTCTGAGAGGTTGTCAGCTCTCATTACCTTCCACACCATTGTGTCTTGGGACTCAATATAGGTGGACGGTTTTAGCTACAGCGAGCCATCTTGTAGCATCCTTACGGTCCGCCACGGTGATCGAATTTGTGTCATATGAAAGTGAAGCGCTAATGTCGACCTAATTTAATGTAGTATCTCTGTCGCTTCCCTTATTGCGAAGACCTCGGCTTGATAGAAACTTCAATGATCTGGTAGCCTAAGGGACCTATGAATTACTGGTTCTGTGCAAAATACTGCAGCCCCTACTCCTTTCCTCCATTTTAGGACCGTCTTTGTAGACGTGCGTTGCGTTTCCTTTCCACTCCACGCTCTTACGCCAGCCGTCAACTTCTATCATAACTTCTAGAAACCTTTCGAAACTCAGACGCGGGAACACGTAGTCTATTCGCCTGGTTCAGGATGACACTATTGTGACCATACGTTCTGAATAAAAGCTGTCCTGCGGCATAAAGCCCCGCGGCACTTGTTAACGCTATGTTCTTGGCTACCAAGTCCGCTGGTGGCATGTGTAAGATTTCGTGGGTGCCGCCATCGGTGTTGTCCTCAAGGCATAGGTATAGGTAAATTGATAAAAAAAAAACTAAGCACCTTGTGATGCAAAAAACTGAACGACACTTCGGCCTAAACCTTGATTTCACTACTTTGGCCTCTGCTGCTTACACAGCCGCTGGGCCTTCGACGAAAGTATGGGCTTTTTAGTAGAAAACTGTCTACCTTGTTTGTAGCATAAACCTTATTATGGAAGGCGCTATAGTGGTTTGTCAGAAGAAACTACTTAATGATCTGAGGTGCTCCGAGTAAGGACCATCGCCGACTACGATCTATATGAAGCTGGTAAACCTACATCATATTTTTCTCTGTTCGAAGACCATATATTTAGTTATTTTTGTATGAGAATCCTAAACCGGCGTAAAATAGTCAAGATTTCTTCTTATTCAACTTGGATTCCATTGAGCAGGTCTCTTTGTATCTCCCCTGGTGATCAAAGAAACCGGGTGTTTCGCAGTTGTACTGCTTTAAGATTTTTAATCGCCGTGCCGCAGCTCAAAATAATGAAATAGCTATATATTATTCGGCGCTATCTTATTCTTGCTTGCTAAATCTAACTGGCATAGGCGCAGCGGGGTCTTCATTCGCCGCGGAAAAGCTGAATTAGCTACTGATGTCGATCTGCGTGGCCCCTTCACTTCGGGTAACCGATCGCAATAATTCTCTGATAATGAAAATGATCCACTCAGCTCCTTTTTTTGTATCAGGTCTTCGCTATGTTGCATACTTTTTGGCACGAAGCTTTCTATGAGATTTAAGCGTTGTACTAACCGCATTTACTTGCCGTCCACCTTTTATTAAAATGCAATTTAAATATCTGAAACCTAAACTGCTTAATGTCAGTTGCGATAACGAGTATTTAAAAGTTTGCACAAATTATTATAAAAATGCAAGAAATTACAAAAATCTGTAGTGAGCGGCTTTCAAAGTTGCGCATTCTTCCCTAAATTTATTTTTATTTTTGTTGCTTTACAATACAACTTTTGGTTATTAAAACCTAACCTACTTGTCAGCCAACAATCAACAGTCAGCTGAAAAATTCCTTGCATACTTTTGTGCACATTGTACGCCTTTCTTGTTTGTCATTTTTTTTATTATTATTATTAAAGGCGAAGCAGCGAACATTGTTGTTGGAGGGGGCCACAAAAATTGCTGTTGGCTCCAAATGTCCAACTCATTTTGCCATATTATTACTCAAGCTTTCTGGCACAGCGTTTTCGTTTTTGTACATATTTGTGTTTTTGTGCGTTTTTTTTTTCCTGCAAATTCTATGAGCTCCATTTATTGTGGCGTTGCCAACCAGCTCATCATGATTTTTCACTTTGTCGAAAAGTGAGCGTTCGCTTTTCAGTGTTCGCTATAAAGCAAAGTGTAGAAAAAATATTGAAAATAGTAATCGCTCCTTCTTCATCGTCTACAGCATTTTAGATATTTATTTTCATTCGAAAAAAAAAATTAAAGAAAAAATTGTCTTCACTTTTCTCCCACTTCTCGTGCTAGTCACTGGCATTCCAGGCACTCAGCGTACGAGACTGCTATTTTACTTCAACTTCTCATTCTTCGTTTTCGACTCTCCTGTTCCACTCCTGCGTTGATGGACTTCATTATTGTCCTTAATTTATTTTACGGATTTTACAAATGAACAAAAGACCATTGTGCTGAATTTGTAATTCACGTTGGCGTCTTTTGTGTGACGATGAACACAAAACCGCGCGTCGCATTTACAAAACCACTACTAAGCTTCCACCACTCCCATTTTTTTTGCAATTCTACTTCAAAACTTGAGTTGGTACGTTCAGTTCTGGCTGCTCGAAATTGCACAAAGCTTCAACACAATTGTTGCTAGGAATGAAAAAAAACGTGCATAGTAGCTAGGCAGCCGCCAGATATTATGTCCGCCGCCATTTTCAATTTTTCTCTCGAACACTTCAAATAATACAAAGTCGCGTGTACTTCAAAATTTACAACGGCGAGTGAGTGATTATTTTTTTCCGCTTTGCTTCGCATTGTATGGAATTAAATTGAAAATGAAATTGCAAAGGTGGGGGAGAATTTTATTCGTAGCAGGTATCAAAATGCAAAGCAATCAGCTTTTGGAATTATACTGAGTGTGGGGAAACCTAGCGGAAAAAAGCTAAAAAATGCGAGTATTTGTTGCTAAAATACGGATTTTAAATTTCTTTGAGACATCTATGTTGAGTGGCTTTTAAAACACTTTTTTTGCCGAATTACTTTCCAACTTTTATATATAATTAAATAATTAAAATAATTAAAATAAATAAAAAAATTAAATAGTAATTAAAAAAAAAAACAATTAACAAACAGTGCTTTTTTCGGCTATGTATGTGTATGTATATCCAAAACCAAGAAGTTGTAATCATTTCTGTTAACAGCTTTAACGGAAGGCAATGCCGAGCATTGCAGCACTTCTTGTAAGAAATCTTCCCATAAAAAATGATCTGTCTTTCGGAGGTGTCATGAAATTGCAGATCATTCATTCATTCATTTGTATGACCCGTCGAAGATAGTAATGCACAGAATCGAGGAACCAAGTCCGTAGAACAAGGTCCTTTAGAGCACCGAAAAACAGTTCCGGAAGAACCGACACTCGATTTCAAAAGAACCGAAAAAAAGTCCCCCAAGAACCGAAACTCGATTCCAAAAGAACCGAAAAATGGTTCTGGAAGAACCGGAAAATTATCTGAGAGTAACAGAAAAAATAAGTAAAACGAACTGAGAAACCATTCCAAAACAACCGAAAATGGTTCCTACAGAACCGAAAGTCGGCCACGCAGCGCTCATTGCATTATGGGCCAAAAATTTATTGTTTTGACATAACGTCTAAAACAAATAAAGATATCAGGCCGGAATTCGGTTGAGGTATGTACTGTAATGTACTTCTGTGTTGACCTACCAAATTTTAATCGGTTCAAGAGACTATATCATATAGCCACCATATACCTCATCTGACAGACTTACATCAACAACTTCATTGTTTTTGATGCTATCGACTTGAAAACCAATTCTTAAGAAATTTTGATGACAATTTTGTTGAAGTTTTGTATAAGTTTTGAAAGCTAGATTTATATGGTTTCGGGTTAAAAATTTATTAAAAAAATTACAAACAAACTTTAGCTGGAAAAACATTGTAAATATTAAAAACAAAATACCATTCATCCAGTTTTGACCGCCAGTGTATGTGCGCCTTGTCATTCATACATCGTTTCCTTGGAACAGAAATGGCGAGTATTCGAAAAGCTAATCTACGGTAAATTTGACTGCAAGAAACTCGCAAACTTCTTCGACTGTAGTGTTCTCCAGGCAACTCGGCACCATAATTTTAATATATAAGACTGCGATTAAACTCTTTCAGTCGACGAAGAGAACTGTGGAAGGAAAAAGTCTGGAGAACATCTTGAAGGATCGTTGACGGGCGCTTAGATACGCGGAAACGATACCATACAGGTATCGATATTTTTACTTGGAAGTAATATCGAAAGAAAGTATCGATACCTAAAAAATATCGGATCTTTAGTATCGATACCTATTACTTTCTATTTTTACTATTTTTCTGCTAGTTTTTTCAACGCGAAGAATAAAACCCTGTTCACATGACGTGTTAAGCAGCTATGATGTGAACGGGGTCTAATAGAGTTACGCATTGAGTTTCATATCGTATTGAAACGTCTGTACTAAGCATTCACCAGTTTACTCTTCCAATCGAACAATTGGGCTGCATTATATCGACTTTGGTGAAGCAATTGGAGCACATATTCTTTGCATTATATCGACTTTGTCGCCTTCTTGCGGTTTTTGCTGGCAATCAAGCAGCCATGAAGAACAATGCGCTTAA